AATGATCCAAATCAGACTACACGCACATATCATAATACAATTAAAAAAAATAATATATTATTACGTGTCTCTTTAATTATTTTACGATACGTAGAGTACTAGCTTGAATACCGGGTTAGAAAATTTTCTACTAAACAGGGGCGGATGCTTAAACTGCGATGAAAAATACGAGTTTATCCCTTAATGTCTACCTCCCAAGTCCAAATCCAAATTATTCTGGAGTGGTTCTGGCTGTCCACATCAGGGCAAACAGGAAGAATCTCTCTCATTTCTGGGATCAACTCAGGCTTTCTCTTCCCCCCTCCTCCCACCACTTAAAATAATTGCCTTTTGTTTTCTTGGTAAATGAAAAAATAATCCCAAATTCAACCAAAAGTAAGCAACCGACCCCATAACCATACAAACACCCACTCTCCTTCCTCCTCCTCTCAGTCAGTAGCCAGTCTTTCTTTCTTTCTCACATATACATACACACACACACACACACACACATTGCTGTCTCAGATAGCCCATCTCTCTCTCCAACCCCACATTCATTGGGAAATTCTCTCCCACCCTTCAAGCAAAGCAGCTTTCACTTTTTTATCGTTCTCTTTTCTTTGGGTCTCTCTCTCTCTCTCTCTCTCTCTCTCTCTTGTTTCTGGGGTTGTGTGCTTTTTAGTCATTGAGATCTGCATCAAGATGGGTAACTCCCAAGGCACCTTCACCAACTGCAGAGAGCCACCCAATGCCCTTCCTCCTCCTCTTCCTCTCTACACTTCCTCCTCTGTAGCCACAGATCACAACTACTGTGACTACAATGACCACAGAATCAAAACCCTTGTGAAGAAAATGTTGAGGGAGTTTGGCTTGTCCTGTTTTCTCCCACCTCGCCAGAAAAAGAGCAACCAGAAGACCCCAGTTGATGACGACAGCAACAACAACAAGAAGATAAATTTAGAGCACAACAAAGCGTGGCTGCTGGCGGAGTCCGGCGGGTGTGGGGCGGAGTTGGAAAATGCCGATCCCCATTCGGTTAACTCCTCCTTCAGATTCACCTTCTGCTCTCAGGTGGAGCTGGATTCCATGAACATGAGCTCCTCCGCCGCTGCAACGGTTCTAATGGTGAATTTGGGAAATGGGATGTCTGAATCCAAAGCTAAAGAGGTCAAGTGGAGGCGATTTGAGTCGTTGGAGAGGAGCATTTCCCCAATGGCTCACACTTTGATCAGATTTAGCTACGGTGAAATTCTTGCTGCCACTCGCAATTTTTCGAAAGGTAATGAAATGGGATTGTTTTGTTTGAATCAAAATTTGATCATTTTTTCTTGTGAAATTTTAATGGAATTTGTTGTTTTGGGCAGGTAGAGTTTTGGGGAGGGGAGCTTTGAGCTGTGTATTTAGGGGCAGAGTTGGGATTTTCAGAACTGCAGTGGCGATCAAGCGACTGGACAAGGAAGATAAAGAGTCTGCTAAGGCATTTTGTAGAGAGTTGATGATTTCTAGCTCTCTTCACAACCCAAATGTGACACCTCTTGTGGGGTTTTGCATTGATCCGGAGGAGGGCTTGTTTTTGGTTTACAAGTATGTCTCCGGGGGAAGCTTGGAGCGTCATTTGCACGGTGAGTTCTCTTGTTTCGGTCTTTTGAATCGAACTTTGTTTCAAGTTTGGTGAGTTTTGACTGATTTACGACACGCTCATTTGCAGAGAAAACGAGGGGAGGTAAGGGCTCTGCAACACTTCCTTGGTTTGTAAGGCACAAAGTTGCCATTGGAATTGCTGAGGCAATTGCGTATCTGCATAATGGAACCGAACGATGTATTGTTCACAGAGATATCAAACCCTCAAACATTCTCCTTTCGTCCAAGAAAACCGCCAAGGTAAATGGAGAGCAATTTTATGGATCTCACTCTGGTTTGAAATTAAACTGTTTTCAATGGAATTAGATTTTACTCTATACACTATACAAGTAATTTGATTGATTGACTGCGTTGTATCGATATTGCTTGCAGTTATGTGATTTTGGATTAGCCACTTGGACTTCCGCACCTTCCGTTCCCTTCCTTTGCAAAACTGTCAAAGGAACATTTGGGTACGATCTTGAGAAAACTTAAACTCCCGTTGCTTGTGTTCAATTTTTATTCATTGCGCGAATTAAAATGGCATGTGCAGTTACTTGGCTCCTGAGTACTTCCAGCATGGGAAAATATCGGATAAAACCGATGTGTATGCTTTTGGAGTGGTCTTGCTGGAATTGATAACCGGAAGGAAGCCAATTGAAGCAAGAAGGCCACAAGGAGAAGAAAACTTGGTTCTCTGGGTAGGTCATCTTACTACCTTCCTTTTTTGCCTTTACCTCCTTTTTTAATATTTGATGGTGAATTGATGGGCCCTTGATTGCTTCTCATGCTGGACATAGTTTATTTTCCTTTAATAGCTTATTCTTCTTTGACACGGCGATATTCTAAACTACTCTGATTTATGGGGAGAGGGATTCAAACTCGGGTGAGTCGCCGCCCCAGGGGGGAACACTATTCAGGCCAATTGGCCTAACCCACGTCTCTTTAAAACTTTAGTATGAACTATTTTCAAAACGCTCGTTTATTCAATTCGGCTACTTACTCCATCGGATAGAAACTTTTCTTAGCAAGGGTTTGTCTACCAACCAAATAACTTTCTGAAAGTCAAATTTCTTGAATCATTCGGTAAACCTTCCGTATGGTGTTTCAATGGAAGTCATCAAAACTTCTCGTTTAAAATATGAAAAATGTTTGTGGTGTACATTAGATTTTGGAATTGGTTGCTATAAGTTATAGCTCACAAATGTGCCACTTCCATTTTTCATCAGGCAAAGCCCCTCTTGTGTAAAGGGAGAGGAGCTATCGAGGAGCTGCTTGATGCACGAATAAAATGCACTTCGAGAAATTCAAATCAAATTGCACGGATGATTGAAGCTGCAGCTGCCTGCGTAACGAGTGAAGAATCCCGGAGGCCAAGCATCTGTGAGATAATGGCAATACTGAAAGGCGAAGAAGAACCTAGCGTCTCCAAGAGGAAGAGGCCTAGTTTTCTGGGGAATGGATTGTCGATTGATTGTTATTCTCAATTACAACAAACGAATAGCGAGATGAAGAGTCACCTGGCTTTGGCTATGTTAGGAGTTTCCGAGTTTGAAGATGATGATCATCTTTACGGGCGTTGATTCGTTGCAGATAAATTATCTTGATTTTTCGGTTCTTTGATTTGTTGTTGTTTGTTTGAAGTTTGAACAGAGTGGTTTGCTAGAAGTGAGTACTGAGTGTAGATATTGTAGATAGGAATAGGAGTCTGATGTGTATATCTTCCATGTACCTGTCCCTATTTAGCTATTCTAACCGGGAAAATTGTAACACATTTTGTTTTAGTTTAAAGTTCTCGTTTGATTACCATTTAATACTACGATCTAGATCTAACGGTGCTTCTCTTCGTTTTGAAGTGAGAGGTATCAAGTTCGAAATTCGTGGACGGCAAGTTCAATATTAATTTATTTCCTCACCTGTTATTGTATATCTGTAAAAAATAAATAAGTTCTTGCTCCATTAAGCGTATGAATTTGTAATGCTTTCTCACATTGGTATAAGGACAACACTTGCTGGCAGCTCATGTTTGCTAGAGAGATTTCGTAAGAAAATTTTCCCACATTAAACAAGATTAGTTTCAGTTTTCAACACCAAAAAGGCAAAAACTGAAATCTTGTTTAGTAATTACTTTTAGTTTTCAGTAAAAAGACAAAAACTAAAATTTTGTTTTATAATAACTTTTAGTTTTCAGTCTTCAATAACAAGAACGAAAAACTTTGGTAACTACTTTCAGTTTTTAGTTTTCAATACCAAAAATTGAAAAAGCCTTAAGTTTTTACATTTTTATTTCTAGTTTTCATTTTTTTTAAACAAACAAGATTTCAGTTTTCAATTTAAAAAAAAAAATGAAAAATGAAAACCAAAACTGAAAACTGAAAACGAATAGTTATCAAACGGCCCCTAAGATTTTCATTAGACAATGGCTAGTTCCCAAAAACTTGAGTTGTTATGCAATTAGGCAACAATGTATATCAAGCTTACATCATTTCTCACTTACAGCCCCATCGTGCACCATTTAAATTGACAAATAAGTAGAATATAGACGGATGACTGAACTCAAAATCTCACTTACAAAAGAAGTAATAATAACTTATTAGACAACTACTAAGCCTCGAAACTCAAAGAGTTCAAACTTTTAAGATAAATTGTTGTTTAACATGGTATCATAAACCTGGTCAGTTTCGAAGCGATCCAAACCTTTGATGGTTATTAGCTGGAACATACATGCATTTGAAATAGCATGAATTCAAGTATTTTTGGTTATGGAATTGATAAGTAGGATATGGCCATGGGGACACTGTTTTCTGGTTACAATGTCACATCAAATGTGCTTTTTTTTTTTTTTTGGAAGCACAAATGTGATTTTATTGGCCAATTGGCAGATTTTGCAAAAGATTGCCAATCCAGGTAACATTATCCAAATATTAAAAAAAAGAAGGTCCATGAAGATGTGTAGGTACATTCACCACCTATACATTTTTCTGCACAATTAATTGAATTTGGGGTGACATACCAACTACACCATACATATATTTTATCTAATTTTATTCTAATTAAAAAGAATGATCATTTTTTGACATTTAGTTGCAGAAATGATCAAGTATCGTTATTCATCGTTGTGTGGTCATTATATGATAAAATATGTCGTCATTATTATTATAAAATATTATCTCTGCAAATAATCATTCCTGCTAATTGTCCCTTATTTTTTCATTAAAACTCTGTTACCAAATCTGTGTCTATTTGAAATGTATCAAATTATATAATATATGTGTTGTGCGTGTAAGGTTGATTTATAGTTTAAATAATTAAGAGCATTCACTTCTGATCGTTGAGGTGACGTGTTCTCGAATGGACACAGAAGCAAGATATCATTTGGCATGGTATGGGATATTAAGAAGTTTACAGTTTAACTACCATATTAATTCAAATGAACCTTAACAATCAATGCACGTCTTGTCTCATAAGGGCATGGAATGAGTCACATAAACACACAAGACATTAAGGAGAATGGGATAAACAAATTAATAAATTGAAGAGAAACACCACTAAAATATTTTGGCAATATCTTTAATTAAACCACGGTTAGCTAGAGCAAAATCTAAATATTCTTGGTACGAAATGAAGCCATCACCGTCGGTATCAATCTCCGTCATCATAGATTTCACTTCATCTGGTTTAACGCAGCCTAGGGTTTCCAATGCATCTCCTAGCTCAGCTGCAGAGATTTTGCCATCGCCATTCGTGTCAAATCGCTTGAAAATGCGCTCCCGATCAGCCTTTTCTTTAGGATCTTCTTCTGCCATTGTTTGTATAGTTGATTATAACGTGCTTTCTCTAAGTTGAGTTTTGGTTTGTAAATAGATTAATGAATGCGAGAATGAGGGGTAAAAATATGGTGGTTTGTGGTAAATGAATGTGTAATTGAAGAAAGGTAAAAAATTAGGTTCTTAAAAGATGGTTTTGCGAAAGCGTAAGATAGTCCGTCAAATTATGGGTTTAAGAATGAGTCAATGATTGCCTGAAGAAAGAAATTTTCAAAGATTTAACTGCAAAGAAGGAAAATTGAAGTTTTCTAAGACAACTTGTTGTAGAGCTTGTTGTTCGGACAATACTTTAATCCTTACCATTTGTTTTAATTCTTACAGTTTAACGTCGTTTAAGAAAGTTATTACACGTTTCGACCAAAAACAAAAAGAGAAAATTATTACACGTGTATTTTCTAACTAAAAAAAGGAAAATGTGGACATATGTTCGGTTTGGTTTAGTGGATAATTTTTGGTCAATTTGTAAGAGAATAATTTGAACACGTGTTTTAGTGGTTTGTCCCATTTTTCCTAAAAAAAATTAAAGAAAAAGACAGTTGCAATAGTTAGATGGACAATGTAAGGGATGAAATAGCACTGGTGGATGTGTTAACTAGAAGGATAGAGATCATATGATAATCTCTTCCACCAAAGTCACCTAATCAAGTAATCTAGATCCTTAAAATTTGATTTAACGGTTAACAGCAAATGTCCGTTTTAAAAGTTATAACAATTTTAGTTGTTTAATCAAATTTCAAATGCCTAAAGCACTTGATTAGATGACTTTGATGAGAGAGATTAGGAGAGCATCTCTTTCCCAACTAAAGATGGAAACTTCTGGAAGGAACCACTAAAGTGCATTCCACGCGTCAAATTTATAAGAAGAGATGAGATGAAATGTTGGGAGAAATTATTAGGTGATCAAATTGATTCAAGTCCAACAGTATAAACAACGGACATATGCCAATTTTCAATGGAAGTACCATAACTGACTTGGTAATATCGTAATATCTAATAATTTCTATGATGTTAGAGAGATTATATAATGTGCTAAGAACATGATACATCAAGTTTCATAATACAATTAGTTGAAAATTTGAATAATTTCAACTACTTGTATTACGACACTTAGTGTACCAGGTATTGTTCCCGGTACACTGAAAATTTTCTCCCGATGTTTAATGGATAGTGTGATATTCGGGAGAATTTTTCAATTGACTGTCATATTAACACATGATGCTGTAATTTCTATGATATAATTGGACGAATAAAACAAATCACATTGTTGACACTTTAATATACTTGAGCTTTATTATGTTAGATTGGCTTGTGTTAGAATGTATTATTAATATCGTAATTTTTATGCATTGTCATTTGTGGAGTAAAAAATAATCACAAGGCGACACGTGGATTCTTGGGTAAAAGAGGACAAAAATACCCTTGAGGCATACTGGGATTCCTACGCGCGAGCAGCGGGCAATCATCCCTAAACTAAGTCAAAAGTGCCCAAAATAGGTAACAATTTAAAGCCTATTTCATCAAATCCTTTCTATAAGGTAATTCCTAAAACCTAATTTATTATATATATTTTGTATTCCATTATTTAGCTAATCAATTAGCTAAATGATATTTTCCTTTCATATTCCCTAAAAATTGATTAATTAAGGGATTAATTACCTAATCAATCCCTTAATTATCAATTAAAACACCCATTCACACCTAAAACTACTAAGAGGCCGGCCACCTCCCTTTTCCTAACCTTTTTCACTTTTCTCCATTTTATTACCCCATTTATACAAATAATCAATTTTGTAACTCCTAATTAAACCCAAAAAACCCTAGCCACCTCCTATCCCTATAAATATACTCTCATTCTCACCAAAAAAGCTAATTCCAACACTTTGGCAAAAATCCCAAAATTCTCTAAACACTATTTCTCTCTAAATTCTAACTTTGGCATCGGAGGTTCTTCGACCAAAGCCCCCCCATTCATCGTGAGCGCGTGAGGCTCTTGGCCTTAACCTAAGGCATAGAAGACTCTCACACAAAAAGGTTTTTTTTCTTTATTTTCTAGTCCATTTGAATATTTTTCATACGTTCTTATTGTTAGAATTTTTTACTTGCAAAGGTTCTTTGATAAAACGTATAAGCAAAATATAATGGCTAGAAATTTAGAAAATTCCACAAGTGAAAATTCTAATGTTCAAGAAATGGGATTGCGGAGATCCGTGAGGCTAAATGCGATAATAAGTGGAGCAGCACCACAACCACGAGTTTCCACCATGGGAACCACCACGGTGGCTACCTCGATAGCCACCCGTGGCGAGGTCCATGATGCCTTCACCACGACTCGAGCCATGCCATCCAAGGCTCACAGCACCAAGGCCACAGCCCAAGTCGTGCCATCCAAGTTTGCACGGGCCCGAGCCCAAGCCTCACATTCGCATGCATCACATACTAAGAAGCCTGCTCCCGCCAAGCAACTTGCTCTCGAGGCCTAGCCTGCTCCCGCCAAGCAACCTGCTCTCGCGGCCCAGCCTGCTCCTGCCAAGCAGCCTGCTCTCGTGACCCAGCTTGCTCCCGACGAGCAGCCCACTCCCTTGGTCCAGCTTGTTTTCGTTGAGCAGCCCACTCCCGTGGCCCGGCCTGCTCCCGTCGAGCAACCCACTCTCACGGCTCAACCTACTCCTACCGAGCAGCCTGCTCTCGTGACCCAACCTGCTCCCGACGCGCAGCCCACTCCCGTGGCCCAGCCAGCTCTAGTCGAGCAGCCCACTCTCACGGCCCAGCCTGCTCTCGTGGCCCAGCCTGCTCTCGTGGCTTTCCAATCAGCCCAAGTCAGCCCAAGACTATCTCAACCATCCGGACCTACCATCGAGCTAGGGGCATTCTCACCACATTTTTTCGCGGATTTGACATTTCCCAACTCAAATCTCGCACCCGAAGTCTACCTCATTTCCACTGCCCAATGAGGCACATTCATTCCAAGCTCTTCCAATCCAAATGGCGAACAACACTTGTCTCGACAAGTCATAGAGTTGACGAATGCCCTTGCACAACAGACAATCTTGGTGAATCAACTTTTGCAACGCATCAGGATCCAACGTGCCCCGGACGAGGTATCTCGAAGTAGGACAAGGGCAGACGGACCTTTCCAGCAGTGTCCCGGCAAGCAGCCACTCGACCAGCCACGAGCCGAACGTTTGGGCAGTGTACATTCCCGTCTTAGTGCGCGGATGAGCATGCACTCTCGACTAGGCCCACGGATGAGCATACATTCACGGTTGGGGTCATACTCCGATAGTTAACATGAGCAACCTTCCAGGCAAAGTGTCCATTCGCGGCTAAGCCCACAAGGAGCATCATCCACCTCACATCAGAGTAGGCAGCACGATGGACGGAGAGAAGCAGTCACTCAATCCAGCTCAAGTTCAACCAGCAGCCTGCAAAGAACTCGCTCGCCTGCTAGGAACGCACCACATGCATTGCATCCGCGGCATAGACGAGCTAAACACATGGAAGACCAGCCTAGACCAGCAAGTCATAGCTGGAGGCAGCCGAGAGCTCCGCTACCCTAACAAAGGAAAATTCAGGAAGAAGTAGAGAGACTCTTGACCAAGCGATTGCATGATTTCCAACGCAACGAGGTCACCGACGAGGCACTACGACGGAACATGACCAACATAAGCAGGTCACCCTTCACGGACGAGATCGAGCAGGCAGAGCCTCTACGCGAGTTCAGCATGCCACATTTCACATCTTTCAAAGGGGATGAAGACCCAGAAAGACACTTAAAGCGCTACCGAAGCGCAATGATCCTTTATCGAAACAACGATGATCTCATGTGCAAGATATTCGCCACCACTCTACAAGGCGAGGTGCAAGATTGGTTCTACACCCTGCCGCCACAATCCATCCGAAATTTCTACGAACTTTCTTTGGTTTTCACCAAAGAATATTCATCCTATCACTTGATAAAAAAGAAGTCTGACCATTTGTTCGACGTCAAGAAGAACCCAAAGGAGTCGCTTCGCGACTATGTGAGGAGGTTCAAAGTAGAGAAGGCAAAAATAGTCGGATGCAACGACTCGATACCTAGAGTAGCCTTCCAAAAAGGACTTCCAACAGACCACCCGCTATTCGAAAAATTGATCATGAAAGAAGATCTAACTCTGGCAGACTCTTTTGCTTTGGCAGAGAAGCATGCACTTTGGGATGAGGCTCGCCAATGCACATTCAAGGACTTGAAGAAGTACCCGACATCATCTCCCTAGAAGCAGCGGAAGACTTATTCGCATGTTTGACAGTATCTAAAGTAGCAATAAGCTCTACCATCATGCGAGAAGAGCTGGGGGCCCGACTACCTGTATTCTATAGTTCAAAAGCTCTCATCGATGCTATTAAAAATTCAAAAGTTAACTTTGGCGATAATTGTTGTAACCCAAAAGCTTAAGTTTTACCTTCAAACGCAAGCAGTCATCATCATGACGTACTATTCCGTCGAATCCAAACCAGCGACGATAAAGGCGTAGACCCTGGCAGATGCAAGTTTTCTGACGAACGCAACAACTAGGCCCAAAGACGCCCCGAAGGCAGCCGAGCACACTTTAGCCACACCTGCTCCCTTAGTGGAGATTTCTGGCGTTTGCGTGTCGATGGCGCATCCAACTACGAAGGCTCGTAAGCAGCCGTGGTTATTGCCACCCCAGACGTTTCAATGCTCAAGCAGGCGATCACTCTAAGCTTCAAAGCATCTAACAACGAAACAGAGTACGAAACCCCACTAGCAGGCCTTCGAATGACAAAAGACTTGGTAGTGAAAAAGCTTTCAATTCATTCTGAGTCCTAGCTAATCACCAGCCAGACTACTAGGGGCAAAGGCATGATGATCGTGGCAACCGACTACTTCACCAATAAGAAAAGAAAATGGCCAAACGAACTCCAAGGATGTCTATGGGCATATCGCACAACCAAAAGACGAGCAACCGAAAGGAGATGGTTATAAGCTTAGATCTGGCAGAAGAGAGGTGCAAACAGACTATCACTCGCATCGCAACCTACCAGCATCAGCTCCTCTCCAGCTACAACAAAAGGGCCAAGATCCGGCAGTTCCAGCCTGGAGATCTGGTCATAAGAAAAACCTTCATCACTAACAGCAGAAAAGGCTCCAAAAATATGGATCCCATCTGGGAAAGTCCGTAC